TCAATAAAACTGACAGCGTAGACCATTTACTGTTTTACTAAACAGACCATAGCAAAGTAGTTATATGTTTGCACTTTTTAAAATCTAGAAGACCGCTATATTACATGACATTTTTAAAAAGATATATTTAGAACACATGATAACTTGTCCAACGTAGTATATGAAAGAAAAAGATCTGATTTATTTAGTTAAAATGTTAAATATTTTTTTATTTGTCTTGAATAATATGCCACAATGAATCATTAATTATCTATAATGGAACCAAATGTGTCATCAAACTGTTGCTATAACTATGTTGTTATGCAGCTTCACAATTTGACAGTCCTATTTTTTCATTTTGTGCATATTTATTAGGAACATTCATCTCACCGTCTAAATTTCATACCTGTGTTTAATTGACTGTTTCTTAAGTGTACGAGTTTTGGGTGAAGTGCGTTTGTGTCATTAGGAAAGTTTGGTTTAAACAGGTAAACACTCAATGTCAGAGCGTAGGTAATGATTAATTATGATAATTATTTGGCAGTTTATGTTCCTCAAACTAAATGCTAGAGAACAGCCTTAAAAAAAGGTTTAACTGACTTTTAGAAATTAAAATTTGTGAAAAATACCTACGTCTTAAAAAGAATACATTGTGACACTGCAAGAACTCGTTGACCTCCAGTGCTTTTATCCTGTGCTGTAGAACTGCAACCTGAATGGAGGTCCCAGAGGCTCTGTCCTCTGAAGCATGGCCAAGATAAGGAAGGCAGAAAACCAACCACCACTGAGCAAGACACAGAAGTTGAAACCTCAAGACCTGGCCAAGAAATATCTAAAAATACATTGTTTGTAATGGTTTTATTGCCTGATGACTGTGCCGGTAGCTGGACCAGTTTCCACTCTGTGGTTGAGGTGCTGTAATGCTTCTTGGGTTGAAGATGGAGTCAGAATCATTTCTCAAACCAGTTTTCAGCTTCAAGAAGAATTATCTTTAACAGTGCTGTATGCCTGCCTTTTTTTTACCTGGAGCACCCAAATGAAAACAAAATTAAATTAGGAGTGCATAAGAAAATGTAGGGTCACTACAAACTTTCCTAAATTGCACCATTTTGTTGTTTGATGATGCTTTGTGAGGAGCGCTCTCCTCACAAAGCATCATGGGATTTGTTGTCACAGTGGCCCGCTTTCGCCTATGGCTGTCACTACCCGACAGCGGCGACAAATAAAGATGGCGCAGTAACTGTGCAGGGAGGCGGAGTTACATGACCAAAGGGGAGTTTAATCCAGCTCTATATAGGGATCGAGGGATTTAGGGGTTAGGATGCATGTTAGGACACAGCCAATGTGTTCACACTATCGTGCCGCATCACTGTTGCTGCCCAAATTTGTGTGGCAACAGTGATGTCTCGTAACTGGTTTCCCAAGTATTTTCCCCTTACAAATGTAAATTTTGACTTCTAGGTAGGGTTGTCAAAAGTATCGATACTCAAAAAAGTATCGATACTGAAAAGTTGTATCTGGATACAATGCTCATTTTCAAAAGTATCGATACAGTGCTACCACCAGTGGCACCTAACGTGCACCTAAAGTGCAGAATAGAGGACAATGCACTTTCAGAACACTGTGTGATTGAATAATTCTACGCACTTTTCAGTTTCAGACTTTTTCGTAACAGGTGCAGCTGCTGAGAATAATTTTTGTTTCTTAGCCGGTTTGGCTAGTGTCATTGTTATGTGTGCAAAGCATAGCCATGGAAGGAACACTAATTTTTAATTTTATAAGTTTTTTATCAAGCTTGCGTTATATTGTGCACAGCATACAACCTCAAAATATTGTTCTTATTGTTTATTGTATTTATTGATTGTATTTTATTTATTAATGAAAATATTTCTGTTGAATTTTGGAGTCTTTGTTTTTATCCTTGTGGTATCGAAAATGGTATCGAGTATTGAATATTTTCCTTAGTATCACTATCGAGTTGAAAAGTTTAGTATCGTGACAACCCTACTTCTAGGAAAATCCTTTTCTCTCATTTTTCAACAAAAGATGAACGGAGATCTTATTTTAGGAGCAAAATGCGAATGAAAGGGGGGAAATTTGTACTTGCACGTGTGCTCCTTTTTTTTTTTTTTTCCCTACCTGCATGGATAACTGAGGTCTTATGGATCAACAGTGTTTCCACAAGAAGGGAGTTTGGCTGGATGCTGCATCGGCCTCTGCATCAAGCTTCCAAATGTCCTAGCTACTGGCTGCCAGACAGGAAAAAAATTCCTGTGAATTTCAGAAGACTCACTCTTAGTCCTTGATGGCAGATGAACACATGCGCTGGCCGACAGACCAATTTCTTAGGTGGGGTGGAGTGTTCAGGTTCAGAAGGAATCCCAAACTACTGGTCTGTCAACACCAACCGGCCTATTTTCAGTTTTTTCTTTTTTTTTTGTCTTTTTTTTCACCCCTACCTGTTGAAAGTCAGCATTAATGCATAGCCATGGCTGCAGGTGGATCAACAACCTTTTAGAGGGTCAATCAGACAGTTTGGTATTAAGTTGAACATGACTAAAAGAGTCAAAGAAAGACTGGGCTTAGTTAGCAAACAAAAAAAGAAGACTATATCTGTGTAGGACAAAGAATAATAATAATAAAAAATAGATTGCAGTTATTCAGCCTTTTAACCATAGTTATTATACAAAAACCTCACTTTAACATTTTAACCTCACTTATGCTAAAATCATGTTGTAGGTTTACTAACTCCTATGTAAAATGAATCCTCCAAACTATAATTTACCACAGAACTGTAAACACAGTGGAGTTTAAACATTGCAGAGATGAGCTTTTAAACCAGGTTCTCTAACAGCAGCTGCAGCTGCAACTGCATGCATAAGGTGCAGGAGTGTGCTATTAATTGATTTGTATGAACTTAATCCAACTGTTAGTAAAGATTTATTTTTCCAACGTTTAGAGAAATATATCTAGGTAACGATTTGTTCTTAAATATATACTCCTAACTTCGATGTTGTATTGGCTTGTTTCTCAATTAACAAGTAGAAGAAATTTGAGCATCGGTTTTCTTGTAGAGGAAGAGGATCCCTTTATTATCTAAAACATTTCTGATAGACTGCAAACATTTCCTTCTCCAGTGTTTTCTGTAACTGAACTGCATAAAACTGAGAGACTTTTCTGTAACTGATTCGACTGCCCTTTCACTCCCACCAATCCGATTCATATGTTCACTTATGAAAGATAATATTCTAGTATTGTATAATGTTTTTTCTTCAAGTTTACTGATCAGTCCTAATAGTTATTTAAGGAAAGCTTTTTGACAGGTTGAACCCAAATCTTTTAACCATTTCAGGAGCTTAGTATATATTTTTTTGAGGCTGAAATTATTAATTTGATTAATCATGATTAATTGATTACTGATATGATAGCCAACTAATTAGGTAAACAAATTGATACCTTAAGTAAAGACTATATGACATGCTGTTAAGTTGATATATGCTGAAAGAAAAACCAAACTACATCATGAATACATAAATACATTTTTTTTCCAATAAAGATCAAATGTATTCTTTATAATAAAAACTATTCCATTTATATGTACGTATATGCTTTTTTTCAAGTTGCAATTCAATTATGGTCGTTTTATAATTCAAATGATTATTTTATTTATAAATGTTAATTTACTAAAAGTGTTTGTTTTTCATTTCATTATATTTGTCTTTTTATATTGATTTTTTTAGTTTATTTTTTTTTTGTTTTTTTTTTTGTAACTGCCAAATAAAATACATCTTTATAGACAACACACACAAAAAACAAACACATTTTTAGGTCAATAAAAAGAAACAAAATGTTTGGATAGAGCAACTGATTACTAAATTAATTGATAGGTGCAGTCCTCGTTTTCCTTTGAGCATAAGTTGTCCGTAGCTTTTCTTTCCTGCATATTAAATGCTATTTAAATGACGTTTTCTTTTTGATTTGCTACAGTAATTCAGTGTAGAGCTTATCTTCTGTTTGAATATGCGTAACCAATGAAATTTGTCAGGCACATCAATGCAGACACTGTGGTTGTCTGTTAGCTTGTGTGGGTTGACACAGCCTCACAGTTATTCCCACTCACAGGCGGCTTCTTTTGGTCCCGGCCTCATTCTCCAACCAAAGCCCCAATTCCACACTTTAATCTGTGTTTTCACTGGAAGCAACTGACGACAAAAGGCTTTTAAGGGAAGGACTCACTGAGAATTCATTCTGATTTCATGCACTCAGTTTGGATTGCATGTTATGGTTGTGTGTTTACTGAATAGAGTGAATTGCATTTTGTTTTTATTTTTGCGTGTGTAATGTCTGCTGGGACTGTTGAGCAAGCAGCTTTCTTTTGTTGTGATTGGCCCCCTTGTGAAAATAACACAGAATGCAAATGATCACTTCCTTTGGCTGTTGCTTACCGTGTACTTTAGAGAAAATGCAGTCATCCTTCTTTTTTGTAGAAGTCCAGCTGAGTACAGGTGATCAATTAATATTTTTTTTTTATTCTCAGCTCCTTCAAATGTTGAAACTATTTATCTTTTTTTTACAAATCGATTAATCTGTTGATTATTTTTTCCATTAATCGATTGATAATCTGATACCAAAAGGTTCCTTAAAGAACTTCAAAATGTGATATGTTGTATTGTATGTTAAATAATTAAACGCCATGACTCTGACAGCTCTCAGTTAATGGTGCGTTCCCTTCAACCCTAAGCGCTGGCTTCCTTGTTACAGAATAATGGAAGTGAAACCCAAACAACGATCAACCTGATGATATCACTGTGGTCAGTTTTCCCAGACTTCACAGAACCTCTTCCAAGCCACATTAAGCGTTATGCAACTGTTTATGCCACCTGGTTAGCACGCTTTTATTTCCCTTCTCCGTCGATGAGCTGTCGCTTGAAAGGTTGTTCTTGCTCTGAGTTTGTCTCACATCCGTTATTTGCTCACAATGAACCATTCACGTTTTAATTTAGCCTCCCTTGGTTCTGCAGCCCTTTAGTTCTCCGTCTGCCTGGGGCCCGTGAAGATGGTGAAGCCAGACATCCACACTCTGGCCCACCACCTGAAGCAGGAGCGGCTATATGTGGCGTCGGAGAAACATCTGATCCAGAGGCTCAACAGCGATGTACTGAAGACTGCTGAGAGGCTCTACCGTGCCGCATGGATTGCCAAGCAGCAGAGGATCAACCTCGATCGGCTCATCCTCACCAGGTTTGACCGTTGGGACTTTTTATTCTGACTGAGGTTGTTTTGTAAACTGCACTTTTTCATTAACTAGCCTTCTTAAAGGAGATGGCGGGGTTTATTTAAACCCATTGGTTTTTTAATCAAAGCCAATGAAAAGGTCATTTGGGGTCATATTTTATTTATATAGCCCCAATTTTACATGTCAAAGATAATTCAACTGAACCATGCAGACAGATTAGTAAAAAGTTTCCTATATAAGAAATCTCAGCAGACTATATCAGGTTGCTGACTTTGCATAATTTTCTCCTCTTGGATGAGCATGCAGTGATAGTAGATAGTCTTTTGTTCTCTTATGTTGTTGATGATGCTGCAGTCCCTAACACGGAGCATGCATGTGGCGACAGTGGAGAGGGAAAAACTCCCTTTTTAACAGAAATAAAAAAACTTCAGCCGAACCAGGCTCGGTGTGAGCGGCTTTCTGCTGAGGCTGACTGTCGGTTCGAGAAGACAGTGGCGAGAAAACAAATGTAAAATAGAACTTAGGACATTGTCAATATGTGCCCCTGAGGTAGACCCTTAACAAAACAGACAAGAAGACAATCTTAAAATGCAGGCATAACTGATTAGGGTCTATTTCGTTGCAGATGTTACAGGCGCATTGTGCAAAGGCGGTCGTACTAATAAAGGAAGATAACCTCTCAATTCTTAAATGCAGCAAAAAAGTCCTTATTTGTGCGATACTCCCCCTGAGGGACCTTTTGAAATGGCACCGTTGTAAACACTGACTGTCAGCCCACAATTACAGCATACGGTCACTCTTACAGCAGAGCAGCTGATGGACACATATCACAGCAAAATCTCTTAAGAGGGGAGCATTGTACAATATATCTATAGATTTAAAACTAGTATAGAATAGTCTTTTTGTAAAATATTACTTTTGTACGAGTCAGTAAAGTTTAAGTGTAAGGTGCTGTAAGCCTCTACATGTTTTTTTAACAGCACACTAAAAATTAATTACTTTAAAATCACTATAGAGACTCTAACAGAGTTTACTATATATGTTACTTACAAGTCCAATAACAGTGCCAGGTCTAAATCCATTTTATATCCATGTTTATTTTAGGTCTTGCCCAAATTTACTCATTTCTGTCCAATCGAATTCACGGTTGATCACCTGGGGCATGGGGGTGTTGATGGGGATGGCCTTACATTGGGCTGCCATAAAGATTGCTCTTACTAAGAACGGGAACAGAGTTGTGAGTCTGGCACCGAGTCAGTGGCATAGAAAGCCAATGGTAAGGAGAGTTGAGTGACCCCTCAGTCGTCCCATAAACACTTAAAATACCATAACAGGGACTTAGAAGTAGATGTATTAAGGTAGCAATGATAGTTATTGCAGTCGTAACTTTATCAAAAGCCAAGAGTGATCAAATATCCAGCACCAAAAATATGTCAGAAGAATGTTTATGAAAAGGTTTGTGAGTTTTCTTTCAACTGCTGGAGAATCAGTAACCAAATCAAACAAAATGTTATCTCTTATTTGATTCTATGAAGATCAATAAATCCAAACCTTTTCAACAGGGTTTTAAAAACAAGGTTTTTGTGTTTAGAAATCATCTAAGTTGACTTTTAAAAGCCACAAATTAATCGCATTTATGATTAAAAAAAAGTCAACAATGTTGGTCTACTCACTGTAATAGAGGAAAGCTGAAAGTAAAATGGCTTTTGGAACAAAATACAGTTTTTTAAGATGCAGATTGTTTCTGAAAAATGCTCTCTAGTGTGGAGGCCTCCCCGGCTGAGTGCTGCCAACATGCCAAAATGCTGGAAGATACACAGTTCATCGATGGATACAAGACTCTGGGTTTCCAGGAAACGATCTACGGCGAGTTCTTGGCCAGATTTCGGGAAAATCCCAGACTTGTTGCTTCCTGCCTGGTGGCAGGAGAAAAACTTAACCAGGAACACACCCAGGGCGTCATCTATAACGTCTTCACCTCACTTTACGGCAACTGTATCATGCAGGAGGACGAGAGCTACCTGCTGCAGGTCAGAAGTTAGAAATAAAAACAGCTTGAAAGGCATTGAAAACAAGAGGGTGTCTAATGTTTTTTTTTTTCTCCGTAGGTGTTAAGATATTTGGTAGAATTTGAGCTGAAGGAGAGCGACAACCCTCGCCGTCTTCTCCGACGTGGAACCTGTGCCTTCAGCATCCTTTTCAAACTCTTCTCCGAGGGCCTGTACTCGGCCAAGCTCTTCCTCACGGCTACCCTTCATGAAGCCATAATGCAGCTGTTGGTGGAGGATGAAGATCACTTGGAAACCGACCCGGCTAAGGTGACGGAGCGCCTCACTCCAGCTCAGCAGGAACGCTTCGGGGAGAAAGGCTCCGAGGAATACAAGCAAAGAGTTCAGGCAGCTGTGGAGGCTAACGAAGCCAAGCTGGTAGCTCTGGTCAACAAGTTCATCGGTTACCTTAAGCAGAACACCTACTGCTTTCCTCACAGCCTACGCTGGATCGTGTCCCAAATGTACAAAACTCTGTCGTGTGTGGAGCGTCTTGAAGTGGGCGAGGTGCGCACCATGTGCACCGACCTCCTGCTGACCTGTTTCATTTGCCCGGCTATCGTTAACCCAGAGCAGTATGGCATCATCTCCGATGCACCCATCAATGAAGTGGCTCGTTTCAACCTGATGCAGGTAATGAACCAACGGATTCCAGCTGCACATTTTCACACATTCAGCCCACTGATCAACGACCTCATGCTCTATTTTTGTTCCTGTGCAGGTGGGGCAGCTTCTACAGCAGCTGGCCATGGCCGATGACGATTCAGACCCCAGACGGAAGAGCAGTTTGTCAAAGTTTGATAAGGTGGTTATTAACAACTTGTTTTCAACTAATCAATTTGAATGTGTCCATTAAGGTTGAACTTTGAATTCTGCTTTGCTATGTTCATTCCCACCATACATTGGGACTGCTTTAAGAGCCATTATGATCACTGTTACACAATAACGGCGTTAGCAAAAGTCATCTGAGTCATTTTCGCATAGCAGTAACACCTTTATGTTACTTGCAGTCTAACTTGCAGTGTTACTTCAAGTCAAAGCGACTTTTCAGAAGGCGCCTTCAGTGCAGAAATTAGATGGGTGCTTACCTGTCTCTGATAGGCTAAGGGGATGTGATGTGGGCGGGTGTGTTCGGCATGCATTAGCTGCTAAGACAGTGAGGAGACTTGAGGCGATGGTGGAGAAATCTACAGATTTAGTGACAGCATTCCTAAACTGGGAGCCTTTTTTTCTGAAGGCCAAGGCTAAATGCTTCTGGGATTTGTTTATTATGTCTGAAAATAAAGACTTGATCCACTTCCGATAAGCAACTCTAATTCATGTTTTTTCTTTTTCATCTACATATTGAAAGACGTTTTTTGTTTTTTTGTTTTTTTTGGTTTGTCGTGAACCATGACTCCTTTTTTCAGAAATTGTACTTCCTTTATGATAAGTTTCTTAGAAATATATTTTTTTAACAGTATTGCTGTTTTATACCCAGTTGAAGTCTCTTAATGTGCATAAAAATCAAGTTCTTAAACATTTAGTTTACTTTATTATTCTAAACATTGAACATATCTCCATAAATATATTAGACTACAGTGTCTCGGCTGACTTGTCTCTACGCACCATAGCTGTACATTAGTATATATCTTTTTTTTAAAGATTAATATCGAATAATACGCTTATAACCTTTTTTCATGGTTCTAAGCTGCTTTCTGAAAACCAAACTCACACTTTAATGATTAAGGCGGAAGGTGTGTCCATTAAGTTCCACCAATCAGGTGAAATTGCTGTAAGTCTTAACCTCTACCAGGATACTTTGATGTTTATCATGATTTTCATTCAGTGATTTTTTTGTTCCTGCAAATTATATTATTTATTTATTTATTTTTTGTTGTGTTTGATTGAAACTCTTGTCAGGTGAAGGAAAGAAACCCTAAATATTTAACATCTATTTTAGGGCCAATGTTTACCAGCCTTCAGTCTAACTTGTTTTTTTTTTCGCCCTTTTCTCTCTTTCCAGAGTTGTGTTGCTGCTTTTCTGGATGTGGTGATTGGAGGACGAGCCGTTGAGACGCCACCCATGTCCTCCATGAACCCTCTCGAAGGTCTCAGCAGAACGGCGGTCTACATTACTCATAGTCAGCTGCTTGCACTGGTAGGTTTGATTTAAGCTTTTTTAAAAACAACATTTTTATTGGTAACTATTTGATGGGATTTCTTTAAAATGGCAAAGTGACTTATTGGCCCGAGGCAGGTTGTGTACCTTTTCTCCAATCTTTTTCCAGGTTTTAAAAAGTAAAAAAAAAAAGGAAACATGGAAAAATAAATGCATTGCTAATTATATTGTCTAAATTGTAAAATATTTATATTTTAAATATTAAGCTGCTTTTTGCATATAAATCTATTTTATTTCTGTCCTTAATCTTTGAATTTTTATCTTTCATTTAGGTTTTCCAAAGTGTTGATAGTTTTAATTTCATAATATCCTGTGATCTTTTAATCATTCTTGTCGACATTTGTTTTTTTTTACAATTTATTTTTATGAATTCTGCCTCTCAGAATTATCCTTTTTTGTAAAATAAAGCAAATATTTGGGACTCCGATGTAGTCAAATCCACACATTTTAGATTTAGAATAAATAAAAAATAAAAAATCATTCAATTGTGGAATTTAAAAAGAACAGGAGTGAGTAAACCGTTCGTGTTTACAGTTTACTATATTTTCCAGTCACATATTGAACTTTTTTTTTTTCCATTTATCATTCATCTAAAGGTAATAGAACAAAAAAAATGAATTGAATTGTATTTTTGTCAAAGGTTATGAAATAAATTTACCGGTAGTATCAGTTCAGCTATTATTAAATCCAAATTGTAAAGAAATAAAACTTGCTACAGTCTGAAAAGTTCTCAACAATTAGGCTTGAACCTTAAAGAAGTAAACCTAAAGTCTTTATTAAGTTAATATACTACAGAAAAGTTTATTTACATCAATAATTCAATTAAGTGAAACATAATATAGACTATAAAAAATACAGATGTTTCAAACATTTTAATTTTTCTGTTTAAATCCAGTGAGCCTCATTGTGACATGTTTTTATAATTTATTAAATATTAGTTAAGATGTAAAACATTAACATGATAAGGTAAACTGGAAATATAGAAACGTATTATTATGATGTATTGTAAATAATAATTAAAAAAAATAATGATAAATACTTATATTTATATAATGACTTTGTTCTGTTTTCCTCATTATTTTAGTCTAAAAAGAGAGAACTGTCTTCTGTTTGTATCGTAGGTGGACTTTGTTCGGAGCGTGATGGCAGGAGACCATCTTCGAGAGGAGGAGCACATGGCCCTGGAGACCCTGCTAGCTAACGTTCCACACTCCCGACCCGTGAAGAGCAACAGTTTGGAGCTGACCCCCTCCAACACCCCTCAGCTTTCCCCAGCTACAACCCCTGCCAATAAGAAGAACAGATTACCCATAGGTACCGCTATACTGCATTCTCCACCCATGTCTGCTTTCTTTGCAGATTTTTAGGTTTCATTATCTGACCTGCTTTATAATATGTGGCATCTTGTAAATTTCGGATATCCTGTGCAAAAATATGTCTAGAAATGCACACCGAGCATAACAAAGAAGCTGTTTGGTGGTGAAAACCTGTGTTTTATTGTAGCTAATGAGCTACTTCTCAGCTTGTTACAGGGATAATTAGCTCGCCCTGGATTGAGGTTCAATTACAGAAATGACAACCAATTAAATTACCAAATATAAATGAACTATTTTAATTAGACTGGATAGAAAAAAAACATTAACTCCCTTAGAGGCACTCATAGATAGAAGTAAAGTACTTTGTTTTGGTTCTATTATTGATATGTTGGATATAAGTTGGTATTTGAAGAGCACTGGATTCTGAGATATTCTGTTTCTTCTTTCTCCAACTCCCTACTTTGTCCTTTTCTTCCCCTCTTGTGCTGCCACGAATGACCAGGACAACATTTAGCTGCTATAACATCCTGGGACCCCTCATCCACCACTCTCTCTGCTCACATTCCATTAGTAACCCCTTTTGGTGGGTAGCCCGTCGGGTTAACTTAGAGCTGCAGAGCGTCTAGCTAGCCGTATGTGTTGTCTCACCCAGCCTACGTGTTCATCTTCTCACAAAGCACTAGTGTGCTCTCCAAGCTGCACAGTAACCACCATGCTTTCTATTGCGTAGAACTGCTGTTGTCCATGTGCTCACAGGCTTCCTGCTTCGCCTTCCACAGAGCTTTTATCATTATAAAGTTAATTTTTAATATTTTTCACTGACCTTGTCCCACTTCTCTTCTTTTTTTTTTTTTGCTCCGTCATTCATCAGATTTTGGCTATTCATTACCAGGTAGAGACAAAAAATAATGCTCCCACTTCTGTTCTGTAGGATAGAATTACATTTATGTTTTAGTTGTTTGAAAAAAGAAAATAGAGATAGCTATTTAGTGATCAGAGTCAGCCACTTTTCTTTCTGTATCTGCTCTAATCCTTGATGGCAGGCCTCATAATTCATCAAAACTACAAGTTCCTCTAAATTTCCATGAACTTAAGGCACAATACATACACTAACGTTCACTTTTTTGTAGATAAAGATAAATACGCCATTATACTTCTGTTGTAATAGACTTGCCACTTTATAATCTAAGTCAATCCAACGTTCCCTATCAAATAACATGCAGTATTCTTTTGTCCTGTTTTATTTCATATTCCTAAAGAAATAGCAAGTCAAGCTCCAATAGAGGCAAAATCTCATCCATGCATCTCCGATTTTTATGTTTAGTGTAAAATAAGTTAATTTACAAAACCTACACTTATCGTAAATAGTGTAGAAAGATTAGACTTCAACATTATTGTTTCATTTCTCAGATTTAAGGTAATGATACAGAGGCCTCCATAATAAACGAGAATGCTGGCTAATGTTTATAAAAAGTCTAAAAGTACATTTTTCATGACTATAATATAACACTGAATGTTTTTGAATAATATATGCTTTAGTTTGACCAAAGTTATTTAGAGGTGAAAAAATGCAGGCATGGTGGAGAAAAAATTTCTTTGACAAAAGTATCACTACTAAGAATCCCTATAAAATAAACCTTACTGAAACCTTACAGATGCATGGATATTAACATCCAGGCTGATATCTTGTATCGATATTGCCATTATAGCCGATAACTGATATTTGCTGATATCCTTCCCTACACTCTGGAAACCATGAAACACCAACCGCAGTGCTGACATTGCTTCTCTGCTTCAGTTAAACCCCAATTAACCTGAGCTGCAAATACCACAATAACAAATAAAATAAAAAAAAAACCCATATACACAATAAATACTATCTGTTAATAATATCGGTCCAGTTTTACTTATCTGGCCGATACTGAGGACTTTAAAAATGACCAACAGTGGATATACAGATAAATAAAAGCCGTTATATCCTGCATTGTTCTAATTGTGTTTTGATATTCACAGTAGTTCTTGAAAATTTGAATTAGTAATCCTCTCCTAGGGAGATGTATATAATGTCACATCAGATTGCGTTTTTGTTAGTCTTATAGCAGATGTTTGTGGATCTTTCTAAGTCCGGATGTTACTACTAACTTCAGTGTGGTTGTCTGCAGTCGGAGCACAAATAAAATATTAACTATCACTAAATCTGTGGTAACTGATGCTGGAAGAGGATTCCTGTTGATCTTGCCCCCAAGAACAGTTAAAAGAACATCAGTGAGATAAAGAAAACCTGGGGGCATTGAATTAAAAATATTTTCAGTTTAGCTTTATTGGTTTCTTAATTATAATTAAGCATAATACATTTTTTTCTGTATATTTCAGGTACTAACAAGAAGCTGCTGAAATGACTTATTTCTTGGAAAACAAATTTGAATTCCTGGAGTTTTATTAACTTAACTACAATTTAGGAATAACTTGCACTGGAACACAGTGAGGCATAAAAACAGATTTGTTAGCTTTTCCTTTATATCCTGGGAGCACATAACAAGCAAAGCATGAGCTTTTGTTCACATCTGCATTAAAGCAGCCAAGCAAATGACCTGCTTCTTTGACGCAATACACGCTAGGCATGGAGCGGTGGGTCACTCTCCTGGTATGTTAACCTAAGGTGAAAATGATCAGTTTCATGGTGTCATATAATTATGGACAGAAACTTGTGCCATCAGATGCCAGACTAAATCTATATATGCAAAATTTGAAAATTAAATGCATTGATTTAAAGTTCACTGAGTTTATACTGTATTAAATCATTTGAAAAGGAGCCAATTTTCTTTCAAATGTGTTTTATTGCATTGAAAATTCAGTTTGACCAATTTCACTTTCAGTTTTAAATTCTAAATTTTTTATTTTTTTTTATCCACAAATACTGTTTCTTGTGAAAAACCAGAGTAATCAGACACAAACTGATTTTGTGCATTTAATGAAGATATGCAGCTGCATTTAATCTGAAAAAGTCAAGAGCGCAGGAGCTAGCAATGCCCCCGCATTGTGTCTAGTGACCAGAAGCTAATTGCTCAGGTTTGTATTAAAGTGTCAGGTAAACAAATAATTTGCTAAATGTTACAGCTATGCTACTTGTTGCTGTTAGCTTAAAATTTTAAGTTTCCATACTGCAGGAGCCTATGACAAACTCACGTGCCGTGCTAAAGTAGGAACCATTTAATATATATCACCGGATAAGATAATCCGTATCAGTCTGTGTAGACGGAGACATGCAAATTTGTTTATTTGACGCTTCCTATTTAGATAATACATTTAATACAAACCTGAGAGTTTTGCTGCAAGGCATATGATGTGATAGAGTAGAATAGAATAGAAAATCCCTTTATTATTATATCCCAACAGTGGGGAAATTGTGATGTTACTGCAGCAGCAAACGATAATAGCAAAAGTGGTCACATACATTTGGAACCTAAAAGTGTATAAAGAGAACACAATAAGTGACAGAATTAGGAAAATATGTGGAAAAAATAGCAACACCAGAGATGTGCAACAATGACAGCAGTATTTTATTTAACTGCCTAGGACAGAAACTGTGCAAAAATCAGCATGAATGTAACAACTTACTGAGGTTGTTTGGAACAGTGATGATTACAGAGTATTACAGCTGCTGGGAAGAAGGATCTGTGATAACGCACAAAGCTGGCCTTCCTGATCAGCTTATGCAGCCGCTTTCCCTCGGCCTCATAATCAGCTTTATAGAAGATGGGTGATGCCACAACAGATGTGATGTGAATCTGTGTTGAATTAGTCTAGTTTTTCCAAGTTATGTGGCACAAAATAAAAACTGTATTTTAGAATTTAGGTTAAATTCCACAAATGAAAGTGAAAATAGTCAAACTCCATCTTTAATCAGACATACCGGTAATACATTTTCCAAGACAATTAGTTTGGGTTTCAAATGATCAGATATATTTTTTGTTCAGTTTTAGGTGATTAAATACCGTTTCAATTTAGTGGATTTGTTAATTGATCAAATACATTTAGTTTTGAATTTTGCATATTTAGATTTACTCTGGGCAATTCAAATTTCCTTTCTGATGGCACTTATGTTCTCAACAATATATAAAATCTTAATATATAGATGCTTCAAACTCAATGCTGCACAGTTATTACTGTACAGTTATGTTAAATTTGACATATTTTCTTGTTTTAGTTTTTAGTCAGAAATCTAAAAAGCAGTTTGAACTAGAGATTTCTATTGAGATTTTATTGTTAGATCAAATGTTCTACCTATTTTCAGCTCTATTGTTAACTAGCTGAGATTTGCTGACTGATTAGTTGAGCTGTCTGCTTGGGTAGCCAGTCTGCTGTGGGCTTTTAATAAGGATGCAGGTCATGACTTGCCTGGTGTTGCTTTGGCATAAACATAAATCCATTAAGACTAATGGGTGGGGGCTCTTTAGTTTACAAACCATGACTACCTGTGGCTTAAAATATTTGGAAGCTGACAGGCAGTGTGCAGCAGCTGCTGTGCCATTGGCAGCAGTGCATTTCACTTTACTTCGGTTGGAGAAAACTCCAAAATTTTTCTAGACTTGTGATTGGTTGAAGCATTTGACACCCTTATTTTTTCGAATCTTAGTTTAGCTTTATACTGTTAACCGACCCATGCCTAACAGTGTTCAGTTACTTATTATTTTTATTACTAACTTCTTTATTAAAGGTGAAAACCATATCCATTTATAGAAATACCATTACTACCAGAGCATAGTTTGCTTCTTCTAATTTTCTAACCTTTTAGTTTGATATTTCTGAAATAAAGAAATCAAGGTTCTTTCCTTTGCAAACTTTAACCCAGCAGCTGCTCGCAGCCGTAGCCGTACCAACATCGCCCAGGAGGGGGAGGCAGAGGCCAGCTCCCAGGAGTCCCTGCAAGAGCTGATGCCAGAGGAGGTGCTAGTAATTTCACTCGGAACTGGTCCTCAAACTGTCCCTGGGATGATGTCAGAGAATGAGGTAATGGGACTTGAATTAATGCACTCATTTGCAGAGGAGATGATGATGTGATAAATTCAGCCCAATATTATTTCCTGTCACTAAAGGGGAGTGAGACCTTTTACAGTCTCCACTAGGCATTCTACATTCCTCCATATGTGTCTGGCGATGTTATACGCTATGAAAACAAGGCAGGCAGAAAGGGAAAAGAAAAGCTATGTCTTGTGGAAAACTAATTTTGTCCTTTAAATGAAATTTGAAGAGTGTTGAATTGAGTAACCCCCCTAATCAGAATGACTCATGCCTAGGCAAGAGCTCAGTGCTGGTTTCTATAAGCTGTCTGTTTATCTCTCCACTGCTCTGCAGGTTTTGAACTTGCAGATGGCTGATGGGCCCCAGGGGGACGGCCTTGCTGATGATACCAAGCTGCACGGCAAACCAGACAAAACCCTTCGCTTCTCACTGTGCAGCGACAACTTGGAGGGAATCTCAGAGGGTCAGTCTGCAGCCTGATGGCAAACAGTTAAAGCACGTCTACTTAGCAACTTTGTAAAGTAACTTAAAATATTTAAGTATCAATAAAAAAAACAAAACAAAAAAAACGATAAAGCAGCATCCAGTTTGGTAAAAAAGGTCTGTGTATTATCCTCCTGCTGACTCACTGATATTTATTCATCCGTTTAAATCTAAGGACCGTCCAATCGCTCCAACTCAGTTTCCTCTCTGGACCTGGAGGGAGAGTCTGTCTCTGAGTCGGGAGCTGGACCATCAGGGAGCAACGGGGTAGAAGCACTGCAGCTGTTGGAGCACGAACAGGGTATTTACCTGTATCTCTGAATGTCGTTTATTATTTATATAATACATGTATCTTTATATTCAGGATACAAATACCCCAAACAAAGAAGATAAAATAAGATGGCTCAGTCTGGTTCACTGACGGTTTGTCTCCTTCAGCTACCACTCAGGACAACCTGGATGACAAACTGCGCAAGTTTGAGCTCAGAGATATGATGGGTCTGACGGATGACCGGGACATCTCTGAGACGGTCAGTGAGACCTGGAGCACCGACGTCCTTGGAAGCGACTTTGACCCAAATACGGATGAAGATCGACTGCAGGAAATAGCAGGTGCAGAAGCTTTTTTGTGTTTCTCATTTAGACTTGCACTCTGTAGTCGGGGAAAAAAGGTAATTAATGAACATCCACTAGTCATTTGTTTGCAGAACAGACCATCTTTGTTTAAGGACATGAGAGAAATGTCATCACCTTGTGGTATTTGGGTGAAATAGCATCCAAGAGTACTTTTTTATGCATCGTAGCCCCGTGCAAACACAGGTAGAAGATAAATATATTCATTTCATAAAAAACCTTGGATTTTATTGATCTTTATTAGCTATCTAATTCGAGTATTTGACTTCTGTCAAGTGGGATGATGACGGCAAATTTACAGAATCTTGTCTACACAGCATGATATACCAAATCAGTACTTTGTACGGACTCTGGCTGAATTACTGTATCAGTGCACAGCATCAAAGCAGCCTGAAGCCCCAGTCTAAAGCAATCCCACATTTCTTTAATAACGGCCTTTAGCTCATCTACATTGTTGCCACTTAACAGACCTGAGCTTCCTGGCTGATTAGTGATACCAAGATCATAACACCAGGTATTGTTGACATGTTCCCAATAAAAACAGCTGGAAATATCTTAAAAGACTGGCAATCTAAGCTTCTCTGGAACTCTGGACTTTTTAAAACTACAATCGCCGTAGACTCTGCATCAAACTGACGACACCAAACCAAAACACTGCATAATTGCACCATATATATTTAATGCTCTGAACTTCTATATCAATGCATTTTTTTTGCACCAATGGCAATGTCAGAGCTGTAATAAATTAAATTTCATATTATATACACTCTGTGTATATAATTGACAATAATAGTTATCTAAGACATATATTTACTTCCATCTGTAATCTTCTAAATTATGTTGACTATTATTTATTTGACATAAATTCATAACTATGAACAAATAAACAGAAATAGTTAGTTCTGTTATAATCTATTTAAAAAATATTAAACCCTTTAATGGCTAAGTCTGTATTGAAAAATGAAGAATTTGCCTTAATTTTCAATAGTATTCAAATTTTAGATGCGTGAAAGCTTTTTGTTCCTATATATAATGTGTGTTTGTCCTTTACAACAATGATCCACAGTTCATTTCAAAGCATTCAATGGATTTAACTTTCTTTAAACAAGTTACTTCTTAAGGAAAATAACCTAATATATTTTTAAAAATAAGATGTATCGATGATTTGTTTTTAGATTTCTTTTTATGCCAACTTATTTACCCCTCTGACCTCAATATTAACTCTATTCAATGATTGTCACTTGTAGAGTATTTCCTGAGTGTTGTGTTTTTAATTCATTCTTTTAGGCCAAAATGTGAGGAACTAATATTTTAAATTAGCTTAAAAGAAGTTTATTTACAGTACAGTGAGCAGGAAGGCTCTTTGAGCCTGTGTGAGACGGGCGGAGACCCTCACTGTATCTTTCCCCAGCTTGTTTCTCTCCCCCTCTCCTCGCTGACATTCACTCAGTCCCCACAGTCTTATTGACCTTGGTTCCTTCTCATTTGCATCCACCATTTTTCATTCTTCGGAATATGGCGTTGGGGGACTTTTCCATCATTAAGTGAATTTACAGCGATTTCCTTATGTGTTTTCTCCGAGGGATTGGGTTATGAGATGCACATTAAATATCCATTAATACCTCATTATCCCTCTGATAAGATTACCATGATAATGAGGCAGAAATTCTAATTGTTTCACTTCTTGTTGTGCCACTCATTTAATCATCCACCTGAAAGACAAGTACTCTGCACCCTACCTTGAAGACTGTAAACATGGACAGCGGGTTGGAGCGCTCCCACTGTCAGCAGAGGCCTGCCGCTGCCAAAAGCAGCACACACTGTTGCCTGGGTGCTGGCATGTTGATGTGCCCACAGTGTGTATGCTTGGTCCACGATGGGGAAGCTTCTCTAACCAGGGAGCCCACCCACCACACGTTGACTTCTTGGTTACAAGCTGTGGACACTGACTTCCACTCACACCTGCCCTGTCCCCCCCTCCCTCTTCTGCATTTTTCCGCCTTGTTAAGTCATGGCTCACAGAATGAAGGTAGAGGGACTTTCTTGGAGGACAAATGAAGCAGTAATTTGGTTGTGAATTATGCTGCACTTAATCAGCAGCTCCGAGTCGTGGCCCCAGAGGCCATCTTGGGAGGAGATGTTCCTATTAACCCCTGACCCTTGGCACAGTGGTGCATCCAGTGGTGTCCCAGTATGAAATGCACATGACCTTTTAGTGTGTTTGTGTGTGTATCTCGTGTTTTATGAATTTGGTTTGCTAAAGTTGGAACAATTATGCTGTTGAGTTTAAAAGTATCTCTTTAAGTGATTGCATGATAGCTAAAATCTGGAACCTGGAACTGTTTACCATGTGCAAAGAAATTTTTGGGGCCAAAGTAAAGTAAAGACCCTTTGTCTCACAGTAACATCATAGTCTTTCTGCCTCCAACTAAGCCCCGCCCACAAAAATGCAACATAACTTTTGAGAAGGGTCTATAAAAAGCCTTAAGAACAGAATTGGTACCTCCTTGCCAGTCCTTTAAAACAGATATGACTGACACACCTCCTACCTCACATGTCAGTGTTTTCAGGTTATCGTTGTCTCTTAATCTTTATTTGCTAATTTGTGTCACTCTCACTCATGGAGATGTAAATACAAACTGACAAAGAAACCATTTCTCATTAGCAACAGGCTGGACAAGGAGCCATAGTTAATGTCCCCAATGAGAGGGCAAAAAGAGGTAAAAAAAAAAAAAGTATATCGGATAATCCTTGCTGATGGTCCGCTCTGCCAGGAAACTGAAGAGGTTCTTTCATCTAATAAATGATCTAAAACTGGAAAAAAACAGGGATTCTGCCATTAGAAATAGTCAAAGATCCCTCTTTCCAGCTCTTGAATCTTAGAAACAGTCGAGAGTCACCATTCTAATAATCATTTCATCAACATGGGTTCCTTTCCTCCTTGTATACATGTATTAACCTGTTAATTATGGCCACGTCCACACGAAGTCAAACCCTGGCCTAAATTCACAAATTTTTCACCAAACTAAGTTTCAAAGCTTTTTTCAGTGCTAACTGCCCTCTTAACATCTGTATATGCCTTTTAACAATTTACATGTTTGCACTTATTGCTCTAAGTTTAAATTTGTCTGTATTATCAAGCCACTGCTGCAGCTTTTTGCTGCCTCAGCCTTTTCTCTGACATTAGAGCTGCTCCATGCTGTTTAAGGACGTTAACCGTTTGTCTCGTGCTCTCAGGGGCAGCAGCGGAGAACATGCTCGGCAGCCTGCTGTGCCTTCCTGGCTCCAGTTCAGTTCTCTTGGACCCCTACGGCTCCACCATCTCAGAGACCACAAGCGAAGCCTGGAGTGTGGAGGTCCTTCCCAGTGACTCAGGTGGGGAAAGGAAGGTCGACTCTCCCTCTGCCGACATGTTTGGAAGTGGTTTTAGTGTCGTTTGTTGTGCTTGGAGTACATGACAGCCTCAGATGTGCGTTTGAACACGCGTGTCTGCATATTGATGCTTTAGAGCAGTGGGGGTGGTGAGGAGGAACACCAGGTGTGGTTTCCACTACATTCCACACCAGCAACGTATGTGTGCATCTGTCATCATATTTCTGTGCACTTGCTTGTCTTTCAGGGCAGATCTGCTTGTGCCAGTAAAAGGCAGCTAAGGGTTTCCTTAGAGGGACCACCAGGTGTGCTTGCACCTGTGACAGCAGCGGGGAGGGAAGCACAAGGACAGCAGCTGTCCTCGGTTTACAGTCAGCCTATAGGCTGTCAGTTCTTTAAGTGGACAGACCTGCCAAGCTGCTGCTTTGAGACCACTTTGTGAATTTTCTTTCTTTAATATCAGCACTCGACACAGTTTCCTTGCATCCTTGTAAACCATACATCTGTTCTTATCTTTTACCAATTAGAGTTGTAGTGCCCATCTTCTAAGTTTAAGTACAAATACTTTCTGAAAGTCTTTAGTTTTATTAACAGTCTTTAGTGTTTCATTGAAAAGCTTAGGCATGTGTTAATTAAAGCACTACACTATTTCAATATGTGCACTGAAACAAAAATGACATGCATGAGTGTCTTGATTGCTTTTTTTGTTCCATTTGCTGCCCCTGTTCTGCTCAATAATGGTGTGAAATCGCGCTCCGTTCGAGCGCAGTGCTTGTTTCATGGCTAGGCAGCAGAAAACTACACTCTAAAGAGCACTTCAGCAACGTATTATTACTAACGAGCATGCAAACGAGCAGCGCTGCTAGAATAAAGCCTCTGGCTTGGACCCAACAGCACTGCAGGGTAGACAAGGCACTGAATGCACTGACTTGATTGTTTAGATTGGTACTTATAAGGCTAATAATGATGTAGGCTTTGTTGTGTTATTTTATGTGTGTTTTTATGCTACTCTTGAAGTCATAACAAAGAAGTAGATTTTATAAATGCTCATTTGTGAGTATAGTGGGGCTGGAGCGTTCATGGGGTCGATCGGCTAATTGTTGCTGTCAAAGTAATGCATCAAGCTCTTTATTTCTGTATTTTAGTTGCTTGTCGTCGTTAGCTTGACATATGGGTTATGTTGAAAAAGTTTAGTTGTTTTTAAAGCTTCTTTTTTGTCTTTAGTGCAAACAAGGGAAAATATATGAGCCTTTTTGTAGCCAGTTGATTGGCAGGGCTCAGGAGCTGAGGGAAAAGAATAAAAAAAAAGTTTTTATGAAGTGTTTTTTCTTTTATTTTTTGCAGAAGCTCAAGACCTGAAGCAGGAGGAACGCCTGCAGGAGCTGGAGAGCTGCTCTGGGGTCGGCAGCACCTCAGATGACACAGAGGTCAGAGAAGTCAGCTCGAGACCCAGTACACCAGGCCTCAGTGTTGTCTCAGGTAAAAATCTTGGAGGAAACAAATGCAAAACAAATAGTTGCTTCTCCTTTTGCCCATGCTTTTTTTTTTGTACTTTAGATAGCCATTAATCGAACTTTCTTGTGTTAGTGTAGAGAAAAAAAAAACACCCACTCTGTCTCTGTTTCTTTGTGTTTAGAGCGGTCATGTTGCCGGGAGGGTAGTTAACCTGTGTAGTTGCATCAGTGTAAATTTTTCCAAATGACACAAAGGTTAATGCCGGTTGTCTTGTCCGTGGGCTCAGGTGGACATGCAGTTTGGAGGTACATGTAGCAGTATTCTAGATTAAGAAGCCAGCGGTGACATTCCTGGCTCAGCTCACGGGAGGAAAGTCCCACAGGATCCCGCCGATGGATAGCCCACTTCTGATGATCATTCTTATCCGTGTCTTTCCCTTAACCCATGGGAGCTTACGCTACCAATTTAAAGTTCCCACTGGGTTCCCACCTGAGAGAGAAACAATACAGCAAAGTCTAAAAGAGAAAAAAATCTCCTCTTTTGTTTTTAAAACCACTGCACATGCAGTTTTCATTTGACTACTGCCAAGTTTAAACATCTATCTGCAGAGGTGATATTGAGTTTGCTTTTGTCCTCACCGTGTGCTACAGGTATCAGTGCGACCTCAGAAGACATCCCAAACAAGATCGAGGACCTGCGGTCCGAGTGCAGCTCAGATTTCGGCGGGAAGGACTCCGTGACCAGTCCTGATGGCGAGGAGTCGGGTCATGGTAGGACAACTTTACTTCTCACCTGTCTCTTTTAATTGTGTGGTCAAATCCACATTAGGCAGATCTTTTTAACTTCAACACTATTAAATTATTTCTATCTGCTCTATGTTTGTTTATTCAGAACTTATACTTGCATTTCAGTACATTTATAATGTATTTTTTTTCAAACAAAGTGGACAGACTCATGGTGATTAGCGATCCAATAAGAATCTGATTATAAAAAATAAAAAATGCCTGCTGAGCAACCCCTAAATCCAATTAGATTTTTATTCTGTGCACTAATGGGTCAAATTAACAGCAACACTCTTCAGTGTAAAAGGTGTCACTGAAGTTGTCACAAAAATTGCCAACCTTTAGGATCAGATAGATGCTTAAAACACAAAAGGAAGCACAAACCCGGCTTTCATTTTCTGTGGAGATTAATCTGCTGTTCTTTTAGGCTGCTGCTTCAATAGAGAATATGAGTTTTAGCTGATAACAGGAAGGCTAAACCTTTAACAACAGTTTTTCAACCTTTGTTGAACATTTTGGTTTTAAAAATATGGGCTGCTTTTTGGAAAGTCTGTGGGACATAAACTGTTGTTCAATTTTGTCATGTTAATAATGGTTGCTAATGTAGAAGGCCAATGCCAGGTCTTGGTTGGGAATTTAAATAATCTATTTAGGATTACTTGTCAATTGATGTTTTATTAGATTAAAGTACATCCATCTGATTATTTGATACAGTCAACTAAGAAGGGATTTTTTTTAATGTTGTAGAAATCATAATCGTTTCACATATATCTTTTTTTTCATTAAGGTATTTTTATGTTTTGTTTGATCTTTTAAATAGGTCTAGTTTATTGATGTATAAGAAAACATTTCATTGCTTATTTAGTCGGTATTTGATTCACTGACTGCTGGCCCAATAAATAGTTAAAATATACATATTTTTACTTTGTGTTTTGTGTTTAAAGAAATATTTAGCCCTAGAAATAAAGATCCTCTTGATACAAGAGAAAATTCAGGTTTGTAAGAAAATAGCCGCGTATCAATTAATTGTTGCTGGATTGATAGGATTGGTTAACTTAAGTTTCATTTATTAATCGATAGCTTCCTTCATCTGTAATAATTTGCTCTGATTTAAACGATTAGTAAAACCCAGTGTGATAGCAGTTGATTTTTTTTCAGACTAAAGGTTAAAAAGAAATGCCTTTAATCCTGGTATACATTTTTAGTATAATATACGGTATATATTAAATGCCTTTAATATGGTATATAGGGTTATTCGAATTGCCTGCAGATTTTATCAGCATGGTCTTGATTGAGGAATCCCTGTGATTTCAACTTTTACACTTTCTCTTTTTTATCTGTCTGAAAAATTCCAGTTGAATATTTTCTTCATTCTCTCATGCATCTGTAGGAGCCCACCAGCTGACATCTCCACCTTCACAGGCCGATTCGTTGCTCGCCATGTTCGATCCGCTCTCCTCCGGTGAAGGTAACATGTTCCGTTGGAACTCGCATTGTAAAAAAGGGGGTGCATAAAATCAAGAAGAAATGACTAAAATCACAGGGAAAAGCTACTCAAAGAAAGCGAAATCATCCATCGGTGCAGAAAGATCATTTTCCTTGACAAGATTTCTTGATTTTAGATTTTTAAATCTAGAAATAAACATATTGAAGACTAAAAATTGGAAATAGTTTTAAAAAAAGAAAAATAATGTGACCCTAAATATGTTTTTCTTATCTTGGTAAGAACCAAATAATTGGGAATGCAGAGCTAAATCTGAATAACGCTGTATCTTAGACTTAGACAGATTTTATTTGCCATTTGTTTACACAAGTGTAAAAACAAAAAGAAATTTCGTTTGGAAACAGCTCTCTGGACAATTTCATCTTTTTTAAAATGCAGCCTTGAAAAATAGTAAAAATGACTGTAAATTTACAGTTCTTTTTTTTTTCACCACCCTAAATTCACAGGCTTGGTTGTTGCTTTTTTTAATTTTATTTATTTTTGTGTGAGAGGAATGATGGTTTCTGTGTCTCTATGGCAAGGTGAGGGGATGACAGGTTGAGAGACCTCACCCCAGGCTGTTTGGCACTGTCCCCTCGTCCCACTGTGCTTATGGCACAAGGCTGCCATTGGAAGCTTTTCAGGAGAGAGTCTACCCTTGGAACAGGTGGCCTACCTCCACCCAGGGCTTATCTCCCACCAACATCTCTCTTTAGCTCTCTCCCACACATAAGGAGTATTTTTTTCTGCTGATTAGGTTTTCAATTGTCTTTCAAAAACGTTATAAGTCTCTGTTTTTGGGTGGGAAATATTATGTTTTATAAACCTAATGTGCGTCTGCAGAAGTCTTAAGGAAGCTAGTTGATTACTTGGAAAATTGCTGTTTGTTACATTTTTTCGCATTTCCTAATTCCTTTCCTTATTGATTCAGGTTCTTCCACAGGGACAATAGTCAGGCCCAAGGTGCACTACGCCAGGCCCACTCACCCTCCCCCAGATCCTCCCATCCCTGAAGCCAGTGCCATGGGGCCGGATGTGCGGCACTCCATTTGCACGGCCCAATACTTGGCCCAGTCTGAGCTGGAGCAGTCAAAGCAGCGCCATTCCTTCCCTGACAGACTGGTCCGCAGTCGCAGTTCTGACATCGTGTGCCCGGGTCGACGGCCCACGAGCGACCCCGGCCTCAACAGGCGGGTAGCGGTCGAAGAGCGTGACCCTCCCGGGGCTTTCGCCTCAGGACCATCGTCATCGCCAAGCAAAGACTCCCTGAAAGGAGAGGTAAAAACTTCAGCGGTTGTGTTCTATCTAGTCAGAGATATAAGCTGCATTTTAATGCTGATAACGCAGACATGTTTTTTTCTTGTTAAAAATCTTAACTTTTTTCTTCATTTATTTAACATTCTTAAAAGATAAATTAAAATTAAATTAAGTTGGTTATTTAGACTGTAAAATGAACAGATTATAGAGGTAGATCTACATAAAATATAAATATCCTTAAAATGGTTTTTGACTCTGAATACAATAAATATAAACAAATATCAATGGAGATATATTACAGTTGGAGTGAAACACTTTATGTCCTCCTTTGATATGAATTTGGTTCTTACAAAAAATATAATCCAAAAATGTTTTAAAATTTTTAAGTAAATGTAAAAAGATTTTCTTAACAGAAAAATCAGTGGAGCTGGTTTTGCCTCCTTTTGCATAAATTATCCCGTTCCACCTTCAAAAATTGCTTTGCAAGCTGCCTTTGGGTAATCTTTATTATTAGGTTTGGACTCTTATCTTCCTCTTGTCAATAATCTATTCTCCAAAGGACATGGCAATCAGCTGGCCTATCAAGTAACACCCTGGTCATTGAAACAGTCTTTGGTACTTTTAGCAGTGGGAGCAGAGGCCAAGAAAATCAAATCAGAATCTCCATATTCAGCAGAAGGAAGCTCAAGATGCTAGATGCCCAAAAGCACAGTGGACCAACACGAATGATCACATGGCACCATAAATCATCAATGAGTTGGGAATCTTTTTCTCCAAATGTAAATGTAATCTCTGGAGCACTGATGGATAGTCCAGTTCTTCTCATCAGCTCATAGAAGAAGCATCTGCTGTTGTTTGATGTGGATGTTGTCTGATGAAGCTTGACTTGAGAATTGCAACATATATATCCCATGTAGAGTATTCGTCTGCATGTAGCGGTTCTTGATGCTCTGATTCTGACCTCCGCCCACACACCCTGTGAAGATCCCAAACATTCTGCAATGAATGTTTTTGATAATCCTGTCAAGGCTGTGGTCACCCTTTGGCTGATCCACACTTTTTCCTTCCACTCAACTTTCTATCAATATGATTGAATACAGCACTGCAGCTGTTTAAGCAATGACCTTTTGTGGTTTACCTATCTTGTGACGGGTCAATAACTGTCAGCTGTAATGTTTGAAGTCTTGACCATAAATATACAGCCTACTGAACCAGACTGAAGGGCTGGTTATCCTCCCGTAGCAGTGTGTTGCAGTGAGCTTGTCGCAGATATTTTGATTTGATTTATGCCTGATATTAAAGCGTGGTCTGCGCTATGTTAATCCATGCCACAACGCAAGAGGGACAATCAGGAACTAGCTTTGGGTCTAGATACGGTTGAGGTGGTGAGGAATTGGGGGGCGAGTTTGTGTGACAACGGAAGGATATGATGGCGAAAAAGAGCAGGGATCCAGGTGGAAAAAGGGTCCCAGCGTTCTTGTGCACCTCGCTCTTCTAGCTTCTAGCTAGTTCACTGTGACGCACGACCTGGTTTCTGAGTATAAATTAGCCTTGAGACCTATTCAAAGGTTCAGGACACCTGACTTACCTGATTTAAAGTTTCCAATATTTACATTTTCTGAGACGCTGGATTTTAGGTTTTCTTCCTAATATCAAAACTAACACAAAAAAAAATCAGACTACATAACTCTATGGATCAAAACAATATGAATTCTACTTTTCACATTATTCAAATTATTTCAGATGCACCCATATCTCTGGTAAAAGGTCTGCAAAAATACTTTTATCATGTTGCTTATTTTACATAATAACATTACTTAAAACAGATTTGCATAAATAAAGATATAGTTAAAAAAAAGATTATTTCCTGATACAATTTTAAAAGATATGTTGGTTTTTTGTGTCCTCACCTCTTTTATGCCCTTAAATAGAATTTGCTGTAACCAATTATCTTCAGAAGTCAATTAATTAGTTAATAATTAAGGGACTGTTTAAATAATTCAACCTCAGTATAAATCCAGCTGTTCTGTGAAGAAATTAGGTTTGTCAGAGAACATTAATGAATAAAAGGCCTAATGTAGACCAAAGACCGACCCTAATCCTAAAACAGGGTTCAAGTAAAACAAAATTCATATGGAGAAAGATGGAAGGTCCAAGGTGAAGTCATTGTTTCCTGTTCAGAGACATTTTATAGCCAACAAACCCTTCCAAACAAATCAGCGCTTCACTCTGAGCAACAGTCGTCCCTTGGCCTTGATTAGCTTTAATTTCATATCTGTATGTGATGGAGAAAAATGGTTAGGATGATGATTAAAAAGTAGGATGTACATTTCTGCTCCAATCTCACTGATATTCCATGTTAAAGAGCCTCAGAGTTCTGTGCCTTTTAGATGATTGGGATCGATTTGACAGAAAACTATAAAACCAAGAGCTATTGCTAAAACATTTTATCAAAGATTGTTGATCAGTTTGGTCTACAAACTGATCAACAATGGTCACTGTAAAGCAAAATCTGTGGCCGTGAGGGCGATGTAAGAATTTGTGCCCTTAAAAAAAAAATCACACTGAGACCAGCTGCCATGTCCCTTCAGGTTTTAGTTTCTTTGCATTAAACCTTGCAGTGCTTAAACAATGATTTTGGAGAAACTGAATTAGTTTTGATTATACAGTCTTCAGATTTTCAAGTGTGATTGATTTCTTTACTTACTGAAAGTCAAACTGTGTTTAAAGGTAAAGGTATGACCCCATAGGAAGCCTTAAAAATGTGGATTTTTAGGTGTCTCACAGTCACACACAGGTGCACTCAATATGAGAGGACCTGAAGCCCACAAAACCCCTTCAAACAAATTAGCGCTGTTCAAAAACTAAATGATTTCCAAAACATTTTTTCAACCTGAGCGACAGTCATCTCTTGTCCTCGATCATTGCTACCTTTTTTAACTGAAAAAACGTAAGATATTTCTAAAAAGTTGTAGTTCTTTACATCTATAAGAAGGGCTCATGTTTTAAACCGTCCAGGGCTTGATGTTAACCATTGTCCAATCGCCCGGGGCAAGTACTTTTTATTGTTGGGAGAGTACAAATTTCATTGCATTTGCCCGCCGGGCAAGTGCAATGATCGTAAAAAAAAAATTATTTATCACTCAAAATTATTTTAAAATCACAGAAATTCGCTGAAAACGACACACAAGCGTTGCCGGTGCCAATTTCGTTGTTTTGTACACATTCTCTCGTGATTTGATAAAGCCGCGTGATTTTCCGCTAGATGGCGTGATTCAGCTCTTGGGGAGAGAATTCTGCAGAGCAGCAGCTGGATGATGAATTTAATCTATACTATAATACATGCTAGATTAAAAATGATCAGTCAGGGATTAGGAAAATAATAATAATAATTGTATGCACACAGTGTAAATATTTCTATCATATGGCAGTCTTCTGTACAGTGATGCAGGTCATACGTTAAAAAATGTTCATTACATTTTTTTCTCTTAGACATTGGAGCGGTGCATTTAAATGTTATAGAGCTAAACATGTTAAATTGGTGAGTAGTAGTAGTGTACGTTTTTAACCTATCAAGTTTTTTTTTTTTAGATTTTTTTAGATTTTTAACATTTTTTAATATTACAATTTATATTTTTCCCAAGCAAAGTTTAGTTTGAAAAGAATGAGCAGGAAGGGTTGAAAAGCATGTTAACACAGTAATGTAGGCTTGAGTTCATTATCTGACGCATGCAGATACACACCAGGGACCTGGAAACTTACTGAATTACAAAAAAACATTTAAAAAACAACATGTTTCATTGATATATATACAAAAATGAATATTAGGAACTATATTTATCAAACATTATACAGGGCAAGTAAAAGTTGTTTATGGGCAAATGAAACGTGAAAGTCACTTGCCCAAAGGGCAAGTGGTAAAAATCCTTAACGTCAACCCCTGCCATCCCTTTAAAGACTCTACCTCCTCATCCCCCATTTTGATGTGCAAACTTCTTTTTTAAGGTGGAGGACAGAAAAGACAGCGACGATGAAAAATCTGATCGCAACAGACCGTGGTGGAAGAAACGTTTCGTCTCAGCCATTCCCAAAGGTAAGCAAACAGCTGACTTAATCCATTCTTATTTGCTAAAATTGAACAATAAATTTTGTTCCTTTTTTTTATAGAAGCTTGTTTTATGATTGCAGCACTTGTTTTATGTTTTGATATGGGGATTAAGTTCTCCAAATAACTACTGACAGGAAAAGAAATCCCACTTTAAAGAGCAAAGCAAAGCCAATTTATAACAGGAGAAACAATGATTATGTGTGATCTCTGCTCCATCGCTGATGGAAGTCCATTTGGAAAATAATGTTTCATGTTGTTGGAAGTTACCGCAGAGACATGTCGGGTTGTTTTTCTCGCAGGTCTCTCAGCTGCAGATTTATATTGACTTTTCAAAGCTGATCAGTCTCCAGAGAAGCTTTAGCTGTGTAGATGGTATGGTTGTAGCCCTCCCAGCTGTGCTGTCAGCCAGCAGCTAATGGTCATTAGATAGACCTCTCTGTTGTCAGCGCTGATAGATGAGACATCTTTTGTTGCTGTTCTAATCTATAACCATTTCTCAAACGTCTACCTGCAAAAACCTGCTTCATACTCTGTAGGGTCATGTTTTCCTTTAAAGAAAAAAGGAATGGATAAGTATAAGTTGAACGTAACACCAGAGACGCTCTGCATGTTGAGGCTCAGTCTGTAGTCCCGCAGAGTGGCAGCGTGTGCTTGAAAGGCCAACCTTGTCTGTTGTGTTCCTCACAGTGCTGTATTGGACGGCTGAGAGTGATGTCCCAGGTAACGTCACCGTGCTAGCTGCTCTGCTGGCAGCTGCGTGCCACGCTGCTTTGTAGATGTCGCTTTAGAGCCGTAGAGCTGTGATGTGACATGGTGTAGGCTGAGTTCACGCAGTCATGCTCCTTCCTTTGCATCTGGTTTCATCCCTTCCCTCCCCCCTCTTGTTTTTGCTAGTGTCATTCATTGTACTCCTAAAGCATGTTTTCTTTTTGTTGCCTCAGAGGAGGCTCTGTAGCTCTTGTATTTCATGCAGGTCCTTCTTAACTAAATGACCATTGGCAGGTATATTTACCTTTAATGAAATGATTTCGAAGTCATAGTGGACCTTTGTGCTCCAACCAAAAGGTCTAATTCTTCATGTTTACATTAAAGTGCACACATTTTTCGGCTTTGCTTCTTATTTTTTACTCATTTAAAAAAAAATATCGCTACAGTTTTATTTGGGTTTACATACCTCTATGATTGGCATGGATGAGATGTAATTTTGGCCTTTTAGTTATTTTAAATGGTAGTTTTTGTTTTTTGTTTTTTTTTAGGAGAGAATCAAAGAGTAAGACTGTTTTTTCGGTCTTTTCACCTTTTTTTTTTTTTCACCTTTTAGAGTTCCTCTAAACCAGGGTTCCAACATATATTTTTAAATGGATCTGTTTTTGGAAATAACATTCATTAAATTCATCATTTGAAAAAAAAATTTTTTTTTTAAATTATTTTATAGGAAATGTAGTTATTTAATTGTGGGCTTTACAATTCAATGGTATAAAATTTAGATCATGTATTAGATCATGGCTTCCCAAACACCAAGGGTTCACAAGACTTTTGTCACAATCATTGTGATGAGATCGCAGTAGTATAGAGGGCAAAAATGGATCATCAAATACATAACTGTTAATTTTCCGTCAAATGAATACAGACATCCCAAGTCTGCCAGAAGTTCCGGGATTCTCCCTGATATAGATAGATGTTGACGGATGCCCGTGATTCGGATATATTATCCCGGATTTTGGACTATGCAAGTTACTATGGACTATGAAATTAGTTTTTGGGACTTGGGATGTCTGTGAATGGAAAATAAAATAAGTCACCCGAAGTTTAATTTGTTTTATTCATTTATTAAATATATGGAAGATTAAATGTACCACTACAATTTAAAATGTACCAATACAATATGAAATGTCGAATTAAATAATTAGAAATAATTTCAAAATTATGATTTTTATTTTTTTTTTTGCTGGTTTATAAATGAACATATTTACTTCACTTTATTGTGATAAATAACTTGTCAAGTCATTATATATATATATTTCTAAGGGGTTGCCTGACTGTCGCATTGTTATTTTTGGAGAAAGATGATGGAGAAAGTGTTTGGGGCTTACTGTGGTAGATAACTTTTTGATCTACTTACTACTTTAGACTTTCACTGAATCTATTTCATGATATATTTTCTTTAATTTCAACTTATAAGTAGCTTTTAAGATGAGGCTGAAGAACCTGGAGGTAGTTTCCCTGCTAGATCATTTGGAACATCTTCACTTTTGGCAGTTCGCCAACTGGCAGCAAAATAAGCCCCACAGCATGCCGCTACCACCACTATGCCTGGCAGTTGGTGCAATCTTTCTAAAGTAGAAAGCTTTCTTCAAACATACTTCTTGTTCTTGTGATCCAATGAGTCAATATTCCTCTCTTCTGAACGAAGAAAAGGTTTTGTTTATTTCCTTGGAATCGATGTTAGTCAATTTGTCTTTCTAATATCTGTTATTTTAATAATTTTTCTTCCATTTGAAGAGGAAAAATTTGGTTTCAAAGGCTTACAGGAATACAGTTGTATGTTTGAGAGGCAGTAGAAAACAAGAAGCAAAAGCTGTCTTGGAAAGCTGGAAATTATTTAAATGTTCTCAGCCTCCCCAAAGTTGTAACCTTAACATTTTTGACATTTTGTTGTCATAAACTCCTCTCTACAAATAACTATGATTTGTATTAATGTAAGCATGTACATCCAAACTTGAGATTAGTACAAGGTCAGACAAGAAAGTCATAAAAATGGTAAACAGTCTTTAATTCCATCCTAATAACAAATTATCAACTGTAAAAATTTAAATTGACTGGATTTATTATATAAAGGAAAGATGCCCATTAGGGGTAAATCTTTATTTACACTGAATGTATTATAGAAACAGACTGAATAGATCTGCCCCTGTGGATCAAGCTTTTCATCAAAGACACTCTATGTATGGCTGATACAGCTAGAATATTGCCCCTAAACCATGTAGTCGACATATGTCTTTATTATTTAATAGAAGTGCTTTATGCACGTTTCAGCCTGAATGAATAATTCTAGATTTTTTTTTAGTCATTAAAGATTTGTTGTTGTATTTTTAGCCCACCCTAAATAAAAAAAAATCAAAAACAAAAAGGCCAGAATTAAAATGTCACTCATTCCAGTCATATAAGAATGTAAAGTTCTGCCTGGAACCGTGTCCAAAGTGAGAACTTTCATCTCAAATCAACCTATAAGTTATTACCAATGTTTTCTATTAGTGACCATCCAGTGGTGATTCTAGATCCGTCTGTAAGCAGATAACAGTGCTGTCTCTCATCACATGTCTCCTGCACAGCTCCCATCACAGCGTTCAGGAAGAAGGACAAACATGAGAAGGAGGATCCGCCTCAGGATCGTGTTCCACAAGGTCAGCGGCGGCTTGTTTTATAAAATCCTTATTTACCTGAAACACTCCTTATATTGGTTGGTTTGCTTTAACGCTGTCCGTTTGTTGCCGTGCGCTTTGCCAGATGACCCAGTGCCAAGACAGAACTCTCAAGCCCAGGCAGCCGAGGACATTCTGGACAAGTACAGGAACATCAAGAGGACCAGTCCGAGTGACGGAGCCACAGGAGGAGCCTCTTATGACGGTTCAGGAGGTTCGTGAACAAAACTGATACGTCTGTGAACAGCACCAAAAATGTAAGACTCAGTAATTGTCTTTGATTGTTTGTATCTTTACAGGTCTGTGCGATGAAGACAATGTGAATGAGCCTCCCAGAGAGGATGCTCTGCAGAATATTTCTGCAGATGATCTACCAGACTCAGCCAGCCAGACGGCGCAGCAGCACGATTCCAAATTTTCTTTTAGGTAAAACACCTGAAATCATCCTGAAAAACTAAAGTTTATTTTTCTAATTAGTTTTTCCTGAAGAGTTACCTATCCTCACTCTGGATTGGACACTTTCTTGCAGTGATGCAAAGAAGAAGCTAAGGTTGGCTTTGTGCTCTGCTGACTCTGTGGCTCTCCCTATTATGGCACCAACAAGCACACGTAATGGACTCCCTGATCACATGGACCCTGAAGGTAGGACTGATTCATAATCTGTGATTTCCATTAGCACTCCAATAGCCTTCTGTTATATTTTTGTTCATTACTGACAACTAATTTAGTGAACGATTAAATTAATAATTAACTGGATTATAGACTTTAAAACATGCCTTTAGCTGACAGAGCGAACCACTTAGAGGATTATATATGGTTATACCAAAATTGTAAAAAAAAAAAAAAAGGTATAAACATTTTGCATTTACAATAAAAAAAAATAAAACAAATCCAGAACTCTTCAAGTGGAAAAATTTAGTTTCACCTGGTTTAACTCTAAAAAAAAAAAAAAAACGTTTTTGAGGAACCTTGGGGTATCCGATTATTATTGGAAAAATAATCGACAGATTTATCGATTTGCAAAATAATCGTTAGTTGCAGCCGTAAACCCTACAGATTAGCCTCCAAAAAAAAAAAAAAAAAAAGCAAAGAGTATATTTGTTTCTTAATGTAAGAAATTTGGGAACTTTTAATGTAAAATCATTTAAAAATTTTACTCTTTCTTTTAATTTACTCATCCAAACTGGACATTGTGGTCAAATCCATCTAGAGTCAATGTAATAATCACGGGCGTTAACCTTGATTAAGTACGCTAACATTACTGGTGTTAAAAAGCAACACACATAATTAAAGTATGAACCTTAAAAAAATAAACTACAGATTTTACTTTTAAAATGTTTACCAGAATAGACTGTTTTCTGGTAAGTGTCCTAGTCCAGGCTGACTGGTCCTCATTATGATCCCTGTGGTACAGTGAAAGGACTGACACCTTTGTATGGAGGGATGCCTGACCCACAATGCTTCACGCTGTATTCCAACTTAAACTTGCTGTTTTGGGCATCGTTTGAAAAACTGGAGCCGCTACACCCAAAAAGATGAATCATACTTTCACCGATTCATGAAATGTTGCATCATTTCACTCCACTGTCTGTTTTCTTGGACAGTCTGGCCTTTTAATTCACAGAGGCAACATTTTGTTATGAAACTGTCGATTACTCTAAGGTTACCATTAAACCGATCATTTTCTTTTATGCTTTCTTGTTTTATTTTCCCCCTTTTTTGCATTTGAGGTCATTTGAACTGAGCTGCTCATTCGTTTTCTGCATTAATCATATGTTTTTCCTTCTATATTCACCATTCAAATTAAAACACGCTCTACTAAACAACGTCTGGAAAACCCAGGGGAATTCTCCATAAAGAAGAACGTCCACCTGTTGAGATGCCGTTTAACAGAAAGGATGTCTGCACTCACTCAGCATGCTTCTTTATTTTCAGTTCAGTTTATTTCTATAGCGCCAATTCACAACACATGTCATCTCAAGGTACTTTACAGTTCACCAGATCATCCAGTCAAATTGATTCAAAGTTTTCTATCTAAGGAAAACCAGTTGATTGCATCCACACATTGACTCGTAGGCAATCCCTCACACTAAGCATGCTTGTAGCGATAGTGGAGAGGAAAAACTCCCTTTTAACAGGAAGAAACATCCAGCGGAACCAGGCTCAGTGTGAGCGGCCATCTGCTAACTGGGGTTCAAGGAGACAGAAGCAGAGATACAAAAAGCAGCTGTAAAACGCGACCCCACCTAGGAAACACACAGCCAGGCACACGAGCTCTGAGCCAACTCCCATGTCAGAGGATGAAGAGAGCACATCCAGCCAGTCACAGCCAGAGAAACAGGACTACACTGAAAAACAGGCCAATCTCCAACATCCTAAACAAAGGTGTTGATGGCAGAAGCACAGCTGATATTTCTCCCCAGGATGGTTTCACAGCCAAACAGGAACAGATGAGGCGAAGCTACTATGAGGAAAAAGCAGCGAGAGCATAACGTTAGAGATTAAACTAACAGATTCTGCACAGTGAGAGAATACAGATAGAATAAAGCAGAATGATGAAATAGGGGTTCCTATGTCCCTATTTTTAAAGATGACTGTTCGGTCCCGTTTTTCTGACTCTTATCAAAGCTACCAGTGGATTCATTGACACCTATAGATGCAATTTGTCTTCCAAAAATAGACGTGACTGACTATTACTTTGAGTACAATAAAGTAGGAAACTGAGTGTTGGCCTAAAATGTTGGCTAACATCCATATTCCTCAAACTGTCCGAAGGCAAAACTAAAAGTCTGCACAACCTCCAGATTCTAACCTTACTTTAGTTTCGACGCTTTGTGTAAGCTTTAACGATACAATCGCCTGCTGTGTATTAAATCGTCTGCATGAATAGATAAAAAAAATATATATATATATATATATATATATATATATATATATATATATATATATATATATATATATATATATAAAATGCAACAGCATGAAACTTTACAATAACAACCTTTCAAGGATTTCTTCGGCAGCCATTATAATTTTAACAAAATTCATTACTAAGTCCTTGTATGTATTGTTTCAAATTTCAATGTTGAAGTGTCCTTTGAACCACCAACCTTTTTAGCCATAGGATAGGCTAACATCATCAACCTGTTCAAGAATACATTTTCAGCTGAGTGATGTTAAGTTTAAAGAAAACGCTAAAAGTTTTCTCTTGGTGCTTAGCTGATTAGCGGTGGGGGGGTTTAAGATTGTTGTTAATAGGCTGCTGAATCAATTCTGTCTCCATTGTCCTGTTTCCCCCAGACAATGAAATCGTCTGCTTCCTGAAGATCCAGCTGGCGGAGGCCATCAACCTTCAGGATAAGAACCAGATGGCCCAGATTCAGGAGACCACTCGCTGCGTCAGCCGTTTTGATGCACGCACCTGCAGGAAGCTGCTTGCCGCCATCGCAGAGGATTACAGGTAACTCAGAACTCCTTAGGAGACCATAAGGGTCTCTAATATTTATATATTGGATTTGGTACAGAACCTTAAAGTATTTTTAACTCTTAAAATTACTAAAATAATTTAAAAAAAAAAGGGTCAATGCATTTTATTATCAGCAGATTGTGGTACATTGGTTGGAAAAGGAACTTTTTACATTTTTTATCAAACAAAAGTCTGAGAATTACCTATAGAAGTTGCATAGCAACTGGAGGTCTGCTCAGAAAATCTGAATTCATACTGAGATTAAATCTTATCTAGACATTGAGATGAGATTAGAAGGTTGATGGAGATAAATGCAGAACTATTCCAGAAGAAAACCTGTCAGAGGCTTAGAGCTGGACTCGATCCCCTTCAACCAAAGCAGTGACCTCAGACCTCATGCATGTGTTATTATGGCCTAGTCAAAGCCCAGACATTAATCCAGTCATATCAATATTTGCAAATACTTGAACATTTATGTTCTCTCATTTCCTTTATCCTATCTGTCTGAGCTTTTTTACAAAAAAGTCATGTTTTTTTCCCCCCACATTTGATCACTGCTGCACTTTAAGAAAATGGAAATGGAGAGCTGTACAAAACCAAATTTTGTTTTATACATACTTCGTGTATACAAAAATGAACATAAATGTTGTCTAAGTCTAAAAGAAAAAAGGCACAAAATTGTAGTCACTAAAAAATTGTTCTACCAGGAGGTAACCCATATTCAGGTATTAGCATGTATAAAAAGAGAGAAAGCTAGAAAAGTATATCATTTTCATTTAACATCAATTAATCATATATCTCAGTTGGACAAATGTGATGGATTGTAGTATAGTTATGATTTAAAAAGGGATGAACACTAAAATGAGAAACTCAACATAGTTTTTCATGGTATTTAAAGATGCATCTTTTATTCATTGTTACTAAATGTTAGTTTTTGTGTGTTTCTTTAGAAAGCGGGCTCCGTACATAGCTTATCTAACCAGGTGTCGCCAGGGTCTGCAGACATCCCAGGCCCACCTGGAGAGGCTCCTGCAGAGGGTCCTGAGAGACAAGGAGGTGGCAAACCGCTACTTCACCACAGTCTGCGTTCGCCTCCTTCTTGAACATATGGAGACAAAGATGCTGGAGTTCATTAAAGGTATTTCTACCATCTTCATCCTCCTTTTCACCTACCAGCCTTCAGATGAGCGATTCTCACAACCTCACCAAGTCCTTCACATCTCTGACACGTTATACATGATTTCCACCCTTTTTCTGCCAGACTCTACACTAAAACAAGTTTTACAGATTAAATGATAAAACCTAAATCATCCTTCATTTTGTCTTTATTTTCCATTTTTTTTTTAGTGGCTCTAGATCATTGTAAGACACGTTTTTGGCACTCAAGCATTGACTGTTGTTCCTGTGCTTGCCTCAAGCTTTCCAGGGGTGCACAGCAGCTGATGACAAGACTGCAGCAGTGGAGGATTTCCTGCGCTACTTGTACGGTGCCATGGCCCGTGATGCCATTTGGCAGTTTGCAAGCGAGGACCAGCTGCAGGACGCCCAGATGGCCATCGAGCGCAGCGTTATGAACCGCATCTTCAAACTGGCCTTCTACCCCAATCAGGATGGAGATATTCTCAGAGACCAGTGAGTAGCTCCTGTACCTGCTCTGTCAGGTAAACTGCTAATGTGTGTAATGTGTCTGGATGTGCTGCGCTGTCTAAAACGGTGTTTTGTCGCACGCAGGCTGTTCCATGAACACATCCAGCGGCTTTCAAAGGTTGTGACAGCAAATCATAGAGCTCTGCAAATCCCAGAGGTATTTTACTCTTATTTTTCCCCGTCTGGCCACTGCAAGTTATTCATCTTAACAAGCCAAACTTAAAAGATTAACGATTTAGCTCCAGTTTTTAGCTTCATTAATGTAAAAAAGTAGGGGTTCCAACGTATTAAAACAAAGAACTTGTTTTTTCATTTATGATATTAAGTAAAAGTAATTAAAAGGAATTTTGAGAGAGAAATATTGTGAGCTACACTATTATGAAGAATACAGCTGACAAGGTGCCACAAACTGCTTTATCCAGGCTTATAACTGGAAAGTTGTGTGGAAGGTAAACCTATGGATGAATGATAAAATTTGCACTATAAGATATGCTTCAAGTAAAGCAACATTTCTTTATTTTAAGAAAACATTAACCTCATTTTATGTTTAGATTACAGCTTGAATAAAATTTTTCAATGGCATTAATTTATTAAAGTTATTCAAATAATTCTCAAAGTATGTCCCTGAGTGACATAAATACATAAATAAACATATATATATATATTTCTGTTGATATTCTAACTTGCTGAGATGGACCTTTATAGACAGAGAACCTTTCCTGGTTGCAGGTTTACCTTAAAGAGGCTCCCTGGCCTTCAGCACAGGCTGAGATCAGGACCATCAACGCATACAAGACGCCACGAGACAAAGTCCAGTGCATCCTGCGCATGTGTTCCACCATCATGAATCTGCTGAGTCTCGCCAACGAAGACTCTGTGCCAGGAGCGGACGACTTCGTCCCAGTCCTCGTCTTCGTCCTCATAAGAGTGAGTTTTTATTCCTCCGCTGTTCCGGCTGACATTGGACCGAGTTAGCAGTTAATTCTTAAACTTCTCTTTCCAAATTTATTTGACGACTTCATGTCAGCGAAGATTAAGAATGATTATCTGAAAATCTCTCTCTGTTTGACTGTAATTGCTGCCCGCTTCAGAAATCTGCCTGCATATTTTGTTTTTGACACGCTTGTGATTATTATCTGCACGCCGTTGCACGAGCCTCTTTCGTGCTCTTAATGTGGGCTCATCCCAACGTCTCCTCCCCTCCAGGCAAACCCGCCCTGCCTGCTGTCCACCGTTCAGTACATCAATAATTTCTACGCCAGCCGGCTGAGTGGGGAGGAGTGCTATTGGTGGATGCAGTTCACCGCTGCGGTGGAATTCATTAAGACCATCGACGATCGCAAGTGAAGCAGAACAGCCACCTGTACGGGCAGACTGCGGGGGAAGGAGCCGGGAGACTGGGAGACTTCCCAGCCAACTGCTCCCACTGCAGAAAAGCTGGCTCTCAGCCCTGCTCCGAATTTGTATAACTTGTACATAGCCAGAGACGTTGAGAGATAACAAAATATATATTACTGTACGTATGTGGACAAATCCAGATCTTAGCTGAGGTGGGGGAGAAACATGCAACCGTAAGGTTAAATCTGATTTCAAATTTTCCTTGTATTCTTTTTTTGAGGTTTCCTCCCTTTTTTGTTGGATATGTTAGGAATTTTATGTATTCACAATAATATGAGGTTAAATCAATGTAAAATATAATCTTATCTAAAGGGACCAGACCTCCTTGGTGATGATCGCTGTTTTGTTTTTGTTTGTTTCCCACGCAGGTTCGAGTTGAGGGATGAACTACAGTGTAACTTTTAATTCACTGCATTTGGTTGCAGTGATTCACAGTTATAGCTGCTGATGGGATTTAATGACATTCACACTGAGATCAACACACGTTTCACCACACGCTCATCCAACACTTGGGCAGCTTGTTTCATGATTTACGGCAACTTCTTTTCCAAACTTTCAATAATTAGAATATAAGGGCCTACATATTTTAACACACAAGATATTTATAAAGTTTGCTCTATTTAATGCTTTATCTAACTTTAAGAAGAAAAAAATAAAAAATAACAATGCATATCATGTCTTGAGGTTATAGTGAAAACATTTGAAACATTTGGACCGCTTGCGTCAGGAAGGCACCTTTAGCATTGTGATGTACAGGGTTAACTCATGCACAGAGCAACAGTGGCATTTATGGATCTATAGAAATAGTGCCTTTGATGTGGGGTGCTCTACAGGTTTTTAGTTGTTAAACTAAAATAGATGCTCTTTTCCCCCCTCCCCGCCCGTCCACTCGCCACTGGGTCACTGACCATTTCCCCCCCTGCTGGAACGTGGGCATCGCCGCACTTCTTACCGTCCTGGCTCAGTCCTTTTTGAAGCACGTAAGTCGGAACAACAAAAAAAATCCCAACCTACCTCAGAGTTATACCCAATGAGCCTACAATCGGATTAATTGAAAGACGTGCTGATCACCTTTACACTGGTTAAAAATAAAAAATAGAAGAAATGAATATTTAATTGAAATACTGTGATGTTTTTTGTGCCGCCATCCTTCATCGAAATGACCTTTGGCGATGGTATTATAGTAAGTTTTGTAATATTATACCTGAGATTCCCACTTTTGCATCTGTAAACTATTTTGGATCTCTACCTCCTTATGAGTTCGACAAAAGGGACTTTTATTTATGTGCGCTTCTTTCCTTTTCTTTTTTTTTTGTCCTCCCCCAGCTATGGTGTGGTGTGATGGCTCGTTATCATTGTATTTTTCTAGCTGTTTCAAGCATGTTAACTATTCAATGACTGAAACCCTCTTTTCTTTTTTCCTCCCCTTTTAAATCCTGCTTCATTTTTCAGCACAGTTGTGCCATTTGTATTATAGTTTACAATAATCCATTTTTTCCCCAGTTACGACAGCACAATTCACAGTAGGATAAAGGTCCAAAAACTAAAAACGGAAAAGAAAAAAAAAAACACTATTGACTTGTTACTGACTTGCAGTTGATGCTAAAGTGATTGGTGTAGAATGAATGTAGGTGTGCGAGAGGCTTGTGCGACTTGTCGACCCTCTGCCTCCTCTTGCATGAAGTCATTGTTCGGTCTGTGCAGTCTCAGTCGTCATGAACTGTAGAATAGGATTAGAATGGGCCACAGACCTGCAGCTGAACCTGCAAGAGGATGCAAAGCATTCTTTTTGTGTCCGCGATACATGCATATCAGAAACTGGTATATTTTGCACAAAGCAAACTTGTTTTCCTGGACGATTCGACAGGGAGCGGTGCATTTTTGCCTTTACTCTTCAACTAATGTGATTAAAATGAATTGCAAAGTTAAGCATCTCACTGTGTTTCTCTTTTAAGCTGAAGAACTGGTATTGGATACCTTCACAAACTAGCTTTCCTTTTTCTTTTTTCCTTTAATACCCGTCCCCAACAGCTCGTGAACAGGTTTTCTGTGTACGTGCACTGCTCTTCCTTGCAGTCAGAGTAATGAATCCAATGAGAAAACCACACACTGGAAAATCAAGTTGCAGGTTGCATCTATACTACTTAGCTTTATGTGATGTCACTTTAATTGGGGAATACATACTCCACAAATCGGATCAAATTACTCGGACCTGGCCTCGTGTGTCAGCGTGTCCTCAGACAGCCAATCACAGCAACAGTGTTCATGAAGAAAACAAATTATCGTACGAAAGAAAAACAACTCTGCAAATGAAATTTGAGCCTTCAGTGTTAGCGACCAAATGTACTAAAGAGTTCAGAGCTTTGCTCCTCTGCTTTTGGTACAGTTAAAAAAGTAAAAGTTTTACATTTTGCTTCAGATTTATTCATTTGGAAGCTTGCACCACCATGCAGGGAAAGTTGATTCGTCTTTGCAGTGATCAATGCATTATGTCCTTTCTCCTTTCAAAACAAATACAAAATGCACACCTTTTTTTTTAACCTTTATTTCTACCTGATTAAACACTTTTTCACACAATGTTAAACATCTGTGACTTTTTCAGACGGTATGCAGTGATTCACACAATGGCTGCAAAAGTTTATCAAGCCTTTGCATTGCATATAATTGTAAGTGGGAGCAACAGAGGAGAAATATCCACAAATGGCAACGTCTCTGCAAACATTTCATTACTGCTGACTAGAGTTTCAGTGGGTTGTAATTGGAGAGATCCCCCCCTTCATCTAAAAGCTCTCCTTACATCACCGGCTGCCTCCTCTAATACCCATCTTTTTACCATTATGAACATGTTCTTGGAGTGCTTAGTGTCCCTTGATGATATCTCTTAATTGTTCATTTAAATTCAAATATTGGTGAGTAAAGTTAATTAGCAGCATAAGCCAGTGGCTAGATTGGATCTTTGTGACGCTCAAAATATCTGAGCTGCTGCGAGATGCTGAAGTTTGTTTAAAATTTAAAGTGCCAAAGGTGTTTTTTTTTTTTTTTTTAAATGTTGCTCCATACAAACAAGGTTATGTAGATTCATTTAAATGTGTCCATAACTTTTTCACATTTAGTTTGGTTTATTTTCATAGGCTTTTTCTGTGACTTATCAATAAGAGGTGGTGTAAAAAGGAAAAAAAAAGATTCTGAAAGTTTTTTTTAAAAATTTCTGGAATCTGAAGATTTGTTCAATAAAATCCTATAAAATCCATACACAGTGTATACAAAACAACATCTTGTTTAGTGCAGCTCTAATGAAATTTCTATTTCTTAAAGGACAGCATTGATTAAAAAAAATTGAAAAAGTTCTGATATTATTAAAAAACTGAGTTCAACTGTACCATTGGAGTATAAAACCAGCTGTTTAATGAAGGCCTCTGAGGTCTGATAGAGAAAAAAACCATCAGAAGACCAAGATATGTTGGGAGAGCTTTAAAATAGGGTTAACACCATGCAGATATCAGAGCGAATAAAGACGGAAACGCTACATCTACAGAGATGATGCAGAAAGGCCCACGGTAGGTCTGGATGAGCTGCAAAGATCCACAGCTCGGGTTGGAAATTCTATTGCCACAAAATTATCAAGTTATGAAAGGAAGACAAGAATAAATTTGGGGCAGAAACTTTGGACATTTTTCACACTCAACTAATGTGGCAAAAACTAGTATAAAGGTGGCAGCATAATGCTGTTGGGATGTTTTTCTTTAGCAGACTAGAAGCTGCTCAGAGTATGAAATTTGATGGGTGGAGACTATTTGTGATAATTAGAAGAAATGGGCAGAAAATGTAAATCTCTAGATGTCAGAAGGTGTGAGTGACATTAACCCTTTAAAGCTTGATCCAAGAATAAAACAAAACAGAAAATTACTTCTTTTTTTTGGTTTGAAGTCCTTATTTGGCCTTTTAACAAAATATGTAAAGAA